ATAAATTGGAATTTAAAAGCTGAAATGTCTATATGCCGTGTAATACTTTGCTATTTTTTCCTCCCAGATGTTGAATGTACTCGTTTTTTCATTTTTGATTTATAGTATAGTCTGTCTTTGAACAGAAGTCGTAGAGCAGTAAAATTTAAAGGCTTAAGTTTCGACTGCAACTTTATTTTCGAGTTATAACACTAGTTCAAATTTGCACCTGAAGGCATATTCCAAGTGAAAATTGATTCTTCATCTGTGGCTTTCGCACAAGTTCAGGAAGAGTGTGCTCATAATTTTAGATCCACAGCTTCTTGTGCAACACTGCAGTGAAAACTTTCAAGCTCCGCTTTGAGCTTTAAATTTGTCCCATCGAAATGCACTTGTTGAAAAACAAAGGAATCTGTTACTGTTCAGATGAGCAAAAACACTTAAGTTGTGAGGGCGCACAGATTGCTGAGTACGAGAGAGATCGGAAAAATGGATGAACGGTTTTTTTTTTGGTAAGGACCCATTTTTTCATCCGATTTTATCGAGAAAGAATGACAAACTGCAATGCGCAGCAACTGCGATTTCCGAAGAATAAGGAGAAAAGAAGCTCATGCGCAGTTCGTTCTGTGCTCAGGTGTACACATGTACCCTTTAAGGGATGCGCAAAAGGAGAAAAGGACAGCCGACCCTTTTTCGCTACGAAGAAGGCGCAGAGACTGTTAATTTGGTACTGAGGCAACATGCGCAAGATTTTAAATTTGATGGAGCGAAGAGCAAGTAAATGCCGAAAAAATCCGCACGAATGCCATAAGTGAAATGCTAAATGCCAGTTTAAGCAGAAACTCCTGTTCTGGATAGAATGAGCGCCAAAAATTGGTTGCACCAACCCTGTGTTTTCTGAAAGCTTGGTACATAATGAAAGCTTGTATATATAGTCACAGCAAAACTGCGGGGAGTCGTTCCCGCGGCTGCTCTGTCTGAACATCATCCTGAAGCAGTCTGGAACGATCGGATAAGGGCGTTTGAGATAAAGTGGCAACAAAAAATGGTTAGCCTGCATGACGGCAAATTTGCGAGAGAAAACGATGACGAGATGGACGTGGCATTGCGAGAGTGGCTGAAATAGGTCCACAACGATGGATAACCACAAAAATCTTATTTTCTTTATTTGGAAGAGTGGTTCGGATGGCGAGAAGGGAGGGAGATGCAGTTTGTTGCAGTGAACGGCTACGGGACAAGAACGAAGAGTGGACGGAAGGGCCGAAGGAGGATGGCGTCTGGATGGACAGGTTTGGTGGCCCTCCAAACATCGACATGTACACGCAAAATGGATCAGAACGGATCTGATATATGCGAGCCGGTTGTCACCGTTTGTGCACTGCTTGTGTCGCGTACAATCAACTGGACCGTCTCGCCTTCCGTCTGGAGGTTTCCAGCTGCTTCTTACGGTGATTTGACGGGAACAATAACAACGCTGGCGGTGAAAGAGATGTTAAGATGATGTTAGTGATGCAAGTGATGATGAGTGGTGTTAATAGAGATGATGGCGGTGATAGCGATGTTGATAATGGTGATGCAAATGATGGTGACGATGATGGTGTGAAGAAACGATCGCCCGTAGGGCGATGTTCCGTCGCTGTTGATCGCAATCCGATCCACCCCATTCTCTTGCTATAACGGAGCAATCCTTTTTGGGCCGCGTGTTTGTCGCTACGTGAGCCTCCCTAATTCCGTTCTTAAGCCTCTCCTCTTTTAGACAGCTTGCGGAATTTTCTCCAGCAATTTTTGTCGCTGCGTTCGTTTGCTGTGTTCACTCACAAATTGCTGAAGACAAAGATGAGATACGAACTTATCTTTACCGTACCCTGCACAGCAGCTGGTCATCATCAGGATAAGCTCTTCCAACGGCTATAAACTCAAGCATCGCATTGCTGTCAACCCATGTGCTCTATTCAGAAAATCAAAGTGTGCTTGCTGCTTGGTTTAGTGACCAACAGGACAAAACTATAGTTAATTACCACAATTGTAAGTTTACGCTCTTGCCTCCTGTTGGACATCGGAAAGTGCTGTGAATTATAAGTTCATCAACTTTTTCCCCTCCCATTTATCTTCCCCCGTCCTCTGCCCTCCCCGCTTTGTTCCTCACCCTCTTCCTGTTAAAAAAGAGTAGAGATCAAACAAAAATATTCGATTAGGACCAATGACTAACACAAAGTCATCAGTTCAAACTCTTGGCTAATAAAAAAGTGCGTAGTCAAAAAAAACCACTGCTCCCTCCTTTTGTCTTCACCTCCTCATCCTCGTGAAGTTTCTTCCCAACATTTCTATATTTTCTTTTACTTTTTATTGCAAACAAAAAATACTGGTTTTTTTTGTTTCACTTTCAAATAAAGCGTGTTTCTAAATTTTAAATGCGGGGCGCACCAACCCCCAGCGTATTTATGCGGTGGCTTTGCCTTTAATCCTGAATTACTTACGACCGGCTGCAAATTCGATGTGCAGGTCCAGTACTTGATTTTACAATTCGTAGCAATCTCTGTAGTCAGCAGCACTGCCAGATTCCACAACCCGTAACAGGTTGTGAAATTTGAATTGTACACTTTGCGAAATTCAGCCATATGGATATGATTTAAGCTTTGTTGCTGATTGTAATATTAAAATTTGTGGAAAACTTCAGGATATAAATTGCTCTGCGAGTAGCAATTATCGGACCAGGGCTGGGAATGCTGGTGGATATAAAATTTTCTCACATTAGCTAGGTATCACTGACGGTGCTTGGTGACTGATAGTGAATCCACGAGCAGAGTTGGGGCTTGAGGAGGAATTTATATCTGGTACAGTGCTGAGATTAAGCACTGTATTAAAAATGCAGTGTTGGATGAAAGGATAAAAAAATTCGCAGCCACCTCAGGAATCTCCTCGTGTCTCTTTTCAGGAATCAGATGCGTACCAACGCCCTGTGGCATTGCTGGATCTATACTAAGCGGCCGCGGTAAAAGTGCGGAAATCCAGATGCAAAACATCTGTCTAATGAAACACAGGAAGCACAAAGCCGAAAGTGCAAATTTGCGTGTTCATAAGGACACGACACTTCTGTCACTGTTTCGTGCGTCGCCAACATCACGCATTTGCTTCGGCATCATGCTACTGTCCACAGCAGCCACCGTCCATGGCGTACTGCTTACAGCTGACCAGCAAGAGGAAGACAGCTCTGCCAGCTGCACTCACTTGGATCTCTCATCGGCATCAGGTCCGGTCAACTTTCTCATTCTACGGCGAATTGCGCAAAATTTGCCACAGTCATACATATCACCAAAATCGCGCAATCTCTTAACGCGATGTGGCAGATGTCTCGCTTGAGTATTCCGTGCCTTTACCAGGTGGACTACCTCACGCAAGTTCTTATCGTTACTCCTTTGATCGTTAAAAAAACACTGATAAAGTCATCGTACACTGGTTTTCTTCTCTAATGCATTCC